AAGAGTGACAGCCAGAATCTGAGATGCTGCTCCTGGATCAGGCTTTACAGGCATCTTCCCACTCAATCCTCACACCTTTGTCCAGCTGTGGAACAACTGAATTACAGATGCTTGCAGGGTAGCCTCTGACCAGAAGCCTGGCCCTGCAGGATGAAAGGATGAAGTTACATTGTGGTCATCTTCAAGGCAGCCAGGGGCCAGGGGCTTGCTCATCTCCCTAGGTCTTTTTAGGAGGGAGCATGCCATACAGCTGAGCAGAGGCTGCAAGTGGCCAGGGTTGCTCCACACTTTCAGTTCAAAGTGCTTCAGAGCTGCCGCTTCCTCTAGGTGTAGGTCAGCCCATTTCGACTGGGACAATCCATGTGGGCACTCTTCTAGATCCTCACGCCAACTGAATGAGGCAGGTACTGTTGCTTTCTCTATTCCATGCAGGAGGAAACTAAGGCTCAGTGAGGCTATGCCACATTCCCATGGGTCCACAGCCAAAAGCTCAGTGAAATTCAAGCCCAGTCTGTTTCCTAAGCTCATACTCCCTCCGTCACATCCCCTCTCCACCTGCGCATTGTAAGGGGCGTCTGTATGTTCTGGGGTTTACCTACCTGCATGGTAAAGGGCTTGTTCGGAGTCATTGCCAAAAATGCCCAGGGCTGCTGACTCTCACTTGTAAATCCGCTGGCCTGGATCTAGCGGTCTTCACCTGAAGCCAATGAGCATAATTTTTCTCTCTACAAAAGTAACCGGTTGCTGTGGGGTCCAACTAATGTCATTTGTCACGTCTTACTGAGGTCAAAATGTCTGCCTCTCCTCATGTGCTATGAGGTGGGAAGTGGGTTCAAGTAAACTCCTAAGAGTGTTTCTCGAAAAAAAGTAAAGTGTCTTCGAGTACACTCCATGTTGACTGTCCTATGGCCTTAGGTGCACACATCTGGGTGCCCAGCATAATTCCAGAGAACTGCGGATCCTCAGCAGGTGCCTTTTGGAGAGAGAAGATGTTCCTGTCCTGCTGACGGGGGGAAAGAATCTGTCCACATTGACCTGCACCTGCTGAGTGCCAGGCCATAGATCGTTTTTATTGGTCATAGTGATATCCTGGGGCCTAGAATGGATACGGTCTGAATTTCATGTCTGGTAAATTCTTATTGTAAATATATATTTTGTAGTGATAGGGTCTTGTTCTATTGACCAGGCTGGTCTGGAACTCCTGGGCTCAAGCGATCCTCCTGCCTTGGCTTCCCGAAGTGCAGGATGTACAAGTGTGAGCTCCTATGCCCAGCCAAAACCGTTTGTTTGTTTGTTTGTTTGCTCACTGCCAGATTTTAATTCATTTCCAAGTACTAGGAGTTAGTCTGTCTGGTGAGCCTGAGCTATGTGCAGGATTTTTAAAAGATGATTTCTGTCAGTTGGGAAGCATGTTAAAATGCCCTCCCTGAGCACCCCATCTGCAATATGGTTACCCCCCATCTTCCATCATCACTTTTCTTGGTATTTCCTTCCTAGTTGCTACCTCTATTGGGAGTTTTTTGCACTGATAGACTAGTCTCTCTTGCCCAGTTAATGCCCTCTCCCCAACCCAAGGGTCAGCCCCAGGCAGGCCAGGCCACTGTGCCTGGGGTGCCTGTTGCATGTGCCCTTGATGGGTGGCCCCCAGGGGACACAGCCACACTCGGTCAGCTGTGGTCCTGGGGCAGCCGCGTCTGGGTAGGCGGTACTTAGGGAGGACAAACTCCAAAACCCAGGGCTCCAAAGGACCCATGCGAAGGTCGAGAGGCTCAGGGGAGTGAATCTGTGCTGGGCCCAGTGATTCGAGGCCACTGGGGACACAGCAGAGGGGACCCCCTGAGGTATCTGGAGGTGCTGAGTGTGTCCGGGAGCCGCAGAACCCTGCTGAGGGCACCCAACCGTGTGGGGACAGCGTTGCCTGGAGAAAGGTGGCCATGGCAGCCCACAGGGGTCCAGCTGTGCCTAGGGAGACCAAGCTGGGCAGGTCCTTTGCCCATGGGAGTTCTGTTTCACACCCACCCCCAGCACCTGGCCCTGCCCCAGTCTCTGCCCTGTTTGTGCCTGCAGCCATGGTGCCCGGGCTTGCCCCACCAGGAGACACCACGAGTCTGTCCATGTGTCCACATTTCTGCTTCTTCCCTGTGAAGTGGGCAATAGGTCAGGGATCCAGTCTGTTATAACCAGGAAAGGGAAGGGCCTCCAGGCCCAGAAAGTTCGGCAGCTGAGGTGTTGTCAGCAACAGTTAGTGACCTTAGCCTAGTTAGCCACAGTGGTGCTGTGCATCTTAGCCTAGTTTGCAGAGAGGTAGGACTTGTAAACAGCATAGTTAGGAGTACTGTGGAACAGGGATCGGCCTCCACCTCACTTGACAAAGAAATACAAAACTGTAAGATCATAGGCACCATCCACCAGGGATCTGGTCCAGCACAGGCTAACTGAGACCCAGGTTGTCCTCCAAATCATCTCTAAAAAGGCTGGCCTTGCTCTCCAGACAGAGATG